TGGTGGGCGACCATCAGTGCCGCCGTTCTTGCCCCAGCCCGCCAGTTGCTCAGCATACCAACAGCCGCGGCTGTTGGCGTGACGCTCTCGCACCTCGTGATCGACGCTGTTGGGTCTGGTGACGTCCTCAAGGCCCACGCTACGACGCCCAATACGTTTGGCTCGGTCATTATCGTCTTGCCCTCGGCGCGCAAGGGCGGTGCCATCACGTTCGCGCATGGCGACGCCGCCGAGCGGTTTGACGCGCCGCCGTCAACAACGCTCATGCACATCGCCGTGACATATCTCCAGACCACGATCACGTCGGCGCGCTTGACGTCCGGTTGCCGCTACGCTCTAGTTCTGAACCTCGTGGACCTTGAAGGTCCGCGGTCGCCGAAGCCGCCGGCGATGATCCGGGCCATCGAAGCGTTCAAGACGCTGGCGGCGCGGCCGACGCATAAGCACCGGCGTATCGCGTGTGAGCTCAAGCCCATCAACCACAAGCTTTTGTGGGAGAAGCTCGGACGCAAGGACAAGTACTTGGTCGACGTGCTCTTGGCAACCGGCGCCTACGACGTCGTCCTCGTCAGCTTCAAGAAGGAGCGCGACTACGACGCAGAGCTGCCTTATGATAGTGGCAACGAGGACGACTGGGACTACGACAAGCCCCGGTACAAATACATCAACACGATCGCGCGCTTCAACGAGCATCCCGCGTGTCCGCTTCCAGCTGCGATGCGCCTCATGCTCGCAACCCGAGGCGCCCACGCCTTTCCCGAGACAACTGGTCCGCTCGAGCGCATATCGATCCCAGCAACCAGCGTCCTCTTCTGGCCCAAGAAGTACCGCGCCGAGATCAACGGTGTCCATTCTGCACTCAAGATGCTGCAAGACGCGATCAAGGACCCGGCGGCGGACCTTCTCGGGTATGCTTCGGTGCGCGACTTGGCGCAAAGCACCGTCGCAGTCTTTGGCTGCGGCGATCTTGAGCATCCGATCCCAACGATCGAGCCAATCCTAGAGCTCCTCGTGTTCGACACGGAGCCCGTCACTACCACGTACGTCACGACAAATGGGTGCGCTGCTGGTCACGCTCAATGACGTCGACCTCGTCATCAGCTTTTTACGTGACGCTGTCACCATCACGCCCAACACGCCGCTCGACGTCGTCGCGCCGGTCGTGCACTCGCTCTTGAGTACGTTTGGCTGGATGCTGCTCGCGGACGCCATGATGGGTCTCATTCAGCGCTGGATCTGCTCGGTGACGGGCCCGCTGCTGCAGCTGCTCTCGAGCTTGGCGGGTATCAGTACGCAGCCCGTGTGCGCTGCGGTGCGCCAGCCTTGCTTTGGCGAGTTTCTCAAAGCTGCGTGGTCGACTCTAGTCCACCACCGTCGCCTCAAGCTTCGCTGCACCGGAGCGAGCGCCTGCACGGCGCTCTTGTGCGACCTTTTACTGCTTGGCGCGCACGTCGAGCGTTCGATTCCCGAGGACCCGAGTGACAACTGGCTCGGCGCGCATTTGCCACCGACGCTTCTCTCGGTCGTGGACGACTACATTCGTCCGCGCCGGTCGGCCCTTGTCGCTGTCCAGCGCATGTACGGTGATGACACAATGGCGCTGCTGGCGTACCTCTCGCAGGCACTACCCAATGTCGCGGCAAGTCGCCCGGAGATGCAATTAGCGCCGTTCGCCGATGCCCTCCTCGCTACCTTTGATGCGTTGCCCGCACCGAGTCGGCCCACAGCGTATAGCATACGCTACATGACCGACACGACGTCGCTGCGGCGGGTCATGAGCCCGCAGTCGTTTGCAAGCTTGTTGGTCGTCCTCGACACGACTTGTCGCTGCACGGCTGAGTTCTTATCGCTGCTTTGGCGTCGGTGGGGTCTCTCGACCGGTTTCGTGTACGCCTTTGTCAAAATGCCCGTGTCGTCGTCCCTCCAAGCCCTTGTGACCGCCCACTTTGTCGACCTTGCGCCGTCGCTTGCGCGATTTCAAGACCAATTTTGCGATCTAGCGCAAGGGCAATCGGCCGAGAAACGCATTGTGGTACTGTCGCGCATCGAGCCGACGAAGAACGCACTCGTCTTGCTCGCAACGTTGGCACCGGATGCAATTCTGGCATTTACTACAGCTTGGCTGGCGGCGCTGCCGACTACGGTCGACGCCACGCTCTACCGGCTCTACCCCGTTGCCACGTATATGGTCGACCAGCTCGGCCGTCGCCATGGCAGTGCGCGTCTGACATCAGAGTGCTTGGGGAGGCTGCGAGCCGCCCGCGCCCCGATCGCACTCGGGCCTGCGCACGAGATGACCGACATGGCCATCGATCCAGAGCACTGCGTCGAGTGCTGCGACGTCGCTGCCTTTCTTCAAGACGGCGCGCGATCGTACTTGCCTCTCAGGACGGACGCTTGGGATCTCTGCAAAGCCGTCCGCAAGTGCCTCGCTGCCCACTCTGACGTTCTCTTGGAGGCCAAGTGCTCGAACCGGGACCTTGATGGCGTTCTCAAGCTACCGCCACCAGCCGGCATCTCGGTAGCCGAGTACACGCGCACCCAGAACGACCAAGCGCACCTCGCCCGCTGCATTGCAAGACTCGGAGTCATTCCAGTCGATGCCACATCGCCTGCAGCGAAGCGCCCACGGCACGCTTAAAGGCTAGAAAACCAGCGCTGTGTACCGTGCGATATCTACTGCGTATCAATAATTTCACTTCAAAGAAGAGTTTTGGTGGATCCAGCGCAAACAATGTGCGATCCGTCGTCGTTCGGAGCATTGGACACTCGACTTGCTTTCGACTGCGCCTTCTGGGGGAATGCACAAGAGTGCATGGCGGGCCTCTATGCGGGCGTCATCGTGCGCTGACTCACTCGTCCAGACGCGTACTGTGCACCATGACCACTGAGTCGACTTTGCCGTCTGTAAAGAGGCACCTAATCGTGCATCGGGTGCGGATTGCGTGTGATTACTAGCACTGGCATGCTACAAACAGCACCTGAATCTCAAGAAGCGCACCGGCGTGGTTGCCCAATCAATGACGAGGTGGACGTATCTTTGCCAACCGTTTCACGACACGCTGATAGATTGATACTTGTCCAAAGGAGAACGTTATTAAATAATGACGAGACGACAAGGTTAGGCCGAGACACGGCTGCGGCGGCCCGCGACGTTGCCCATGTTTTTCGGGTGCCGCTGGAACGTCAATAGCACGGGCTTGGGCGCCTCGCGGAGGTACCGGAAGGCTGCGTCGTGGCCAATGTGGCGGATGTCTTGGTGGTTGACGCAGACCCACGCGTCGCCGAGGCCGACCTGGCGCATCGGGTGGTGGCGCTGGCGGTACGCGGCGCCCGTCGTCTTGATCGACGTCACCTCGAGGTAGAAGCGGAGGCGCGGCTGGCGCATCGAAATCCCGAGGCTGTCGTCGTCGTCGGTCCACATGATGTGGTACCAGTACTTTTCATCGCTCGGGTTCCAGCTCCAGCGGTCCGCAGGGCCAAAGCTAAACTGCTTGCTCGGCTCGGGCGACAAGACGATCGACGAGTTGCGCCAAAACTCGGTGAGTGAGTCGCCTGTCGAGAGCCGGTCGGCGTTCTCGTGCTTGTTGTGCTCCGTGCGCTGAAACCGGAGGATCGTCGTGCTCGACCCGCGCTGGTTGAGCTCCCACAGCGTGTGCTGGAGCGACTTGTTGTACGTCGGAACGTCGCGCACGTGGGTGAGGTGGTCGCCGTTGCGGACACTGAGAATGCCGGGGATCTTGGCGTTGATGCGCGCGATCGACCGGACGCGCGGGTACTTCTTCACCGGATCGTAGTCAAAGTCCAGCGAGAGCGACGGGAACGCATTGCGCTGCCAAAGCACTTCGTACTCGTCGAACGTGAGCCCGTTGAGCGTCGTGCGCAGAAACGGCGGGTCAGCGCTCAGCCGCATGAGCCGCAGACGAACCGGTTTCGCCGTCGTCCCCAGCCGCTCAATGACCGGTTGGATCGTCGCGTTGGAGAAGCGCTGGCCGTTGTTGGGCGGCGGCTCGATCGCGTAGCCGTTCATGGCCACGAGCACGTCCCCGCATGACACAAAGTGCAAGTCGGCGCACTGGCTCAGCGTCGTGTGGATCCGGTCGACCTTGGGCCGGCCCGTCTCGTTGTCAACCGAAAAATGAATGCCGAGCCGACCGCACTCCCACACGATCTCGTACTCGATGATCGGACTCGTGATCGTGTCTTCGCTCTCGAGCTCGTCCAACGACGACCGCGTCGACTCGGTTTTGGTGCCGTCGCACGTGCCGTCGTCGTCGACGGCGTTGGCAGCGGCAGCAGCCGCGTCGGCCTCGGCTTGGGCGAGGGCTTGAGCTTGGGCGCGCGCTTCGGCTTGAGCTTGAGCTTGGGCTTGGGCTAGCGCTTGGGCCGCCTTGGCCGCAGCGAGGGCGAGTGCTTGCACGGCGCTCCGCCACGTATGAAACCGAATCGACAGTACCGCCTTGGTGAGCTTGTTTCCACCGGCAGCGACGCGAGCCAGGCGCGCACGCCGCCAGCGCTCAGTCTTGGCCACAACGATCTTGGCAAATGCCTGCAAGAGAAGCGCAGCGGCCACACGCTCGCGCCGCTGTCGCCTTCGAACCACGTACTGTGCCAACGACCGGTGGATCACGCGCTCGGCCACGGTTGCCCGAAGCCGGCGCAGCCCGACGAGTAGGCGGTAGAGGCCATCGAGCAGAAAGACCTTGGTGCGGCCGACTTGGGCGTGGGGCGGTGTCGTCAGCGGCAACAGGCGCACGAAATGCGCGACCATGGCGGCGACACTGTCCCGGGCGCCCCGGGGCGCGAGGCACTCGTACGTGTGCACGAACGTGGCATGTGGCATGCGGATCGGGTACCCGGAGCGCGCGATCGTCGCGGCCTCGAGAATGCCGGAACAGCGCAGCTGCTCGGCGACCCGGGCCGCGTCAAGGACCCTCGGTCGCAGCTCGTCGTTGGGCTTGATGCAGCGTACAAAGTGGGGTGCGGTGGCGTTGAGGACGGTCAGAAGCGACGCGAGCTGGACCTGAAACTTGGCCGTCAGCGACGTCGGGCGACTCGACTCGGCGGCGACCACAGGGAAGAGCGACACGAGAAACGCATTGCTCGACGTGCGCAGAAAAGCGAGGACGTCCGAGTGCACGTGGTCCTTGTTCTTGTCGCAAAAGCCGTCGGCCGAGTACACCACGGCGCCCGCGTAGTGCGCGATCGTAAACTGGGCGCGCGCTTGCTGGAGCTTGGTCGTCGCGAGGTGCGCATGGCGCTTGGCGACCACGTCGGCGTACTTGGCCGCGAGCTGCGCGTCGTTGCCGCGCGGAATGACGCACTGCTCGTCCAGCAGACAAAAGAGCCCGGTTGGCCGCGCTTCAAACATGACGACGCACGCGTCATTGTTGGGGTACGCGACAAACGTCCACGGTATCGCCTCGGCCGCATACTCCTTCTGCTCCATCTCAAAGACGTACTTGGCGAAGAGCTGCTGGAGCTTCTCGTTGGCAAAGTTGATGCAGAGCTGCTCGAGCGAGTTGGTCGCAAAGATCTCGAAGCCAAAGATATCGACGACGCCAATGAAGCGGGGCGCCGTCACGGTGCGCCGCGTCGAGCTGCTGTACCGCATCGACTCGTTGATGCGCTCGACGAGCCAATCAAAGACGCGCGCGTAGATGGCCTTGGCGACCGCGTCCCGGGTCGTCGCCGCTTCCAGCACGCTCAACGACGTTGTGATGTGGTCGCCGCCGGCCTTGATCTTCTTGGTCGTCACGCCCTTCTCCATGCTGCTGGCGTCGATACCCAGCAGCGCCGTGGCGGCCGCTACGTCCGCGTCGTGCTGCAGCGCACTCGCTTCACCGTCCTTCTTTGCAAACGTCACGTTGCCGAGGTGCAAAACTGCTGCGATGAGCTGCAAGACGTCGTGCTGCTCGGATGCGTCCATGCCGATGGCCGTCATCGCATGGCGCGTCTTGGCGAACTGATCGCTGTCGTCGACGCCGTCGCGACGGTCGTAGCACTGGCCGCTATTGAGGTACTTGTAGTCCTCGACATGCGTCAGACCCAGCGCATGGAGCTCGTCGGACGACGCGCCACGTAAGAGCTCGTAAAAGATGTGGTAGTTGCGCTCGCCTTTGGCCTGCGAGACGAGCCGGACGCGCTCGAGAAGGTACGTCGAGATGGACGCGCCAAGGAGCGACCCGATCGACTCGAACTCGAGGCGAATAAACTTACCGAACCGCGACGAGTTGTTGTTGCGGTTGGTCCGGGCGTTGCCAAAGGCTTCGAGGATCGGGTTGGACTCGAGCACGCGCTGGGCGAGGTCGCTCGACGACTCGGATGTCAGCGCCGTCACGTAGTTGAGTATGCACTTGGTGGTCTCGGTCTTGCCGGCGCCCGACTCGCCGCTCACGAGGATACTCTGGTCGCGACCGGGCACAGTGTGCATCTCGCGGTACGCCCGGTCAGCAATCGCATAAATATGAGGCGGCAATGTCGATTCCATGCGCTCGCCGCGGGCGCGCTTGCGGCCGTGCTGCATGTAGCGCGCCTTGACCTCGTGGCCGTAGAGCGGTAGCGGCGTGAACGGGTTCATGGCAATGAGCACGGCGCCGGTGCTGGTGTAGATGGCCTGCGCGTCGAAGCGCGCGCGCAGCGTGGCGAGGATCGAAGCCTCGTCCAGCTGCACGAGCGACGTCAGGTCCTCGACCGCGCCCGCCAACATGATGCTCCGGCAAATGAGATGACGGTGGCTGGCAGGAAAAGACACTCGCGCGGCCAAAACCTCCCAGAAAGAGTTCAGCACTCGCAACTTCGACTGTTACTTCGATTTTGACACCAGCAATGGCGACCGGCACAGACCACAGACCAGCTTTGGCGACCGACGCCCAGAGACGGCGTTGGTGTGGCGCCAGGCAACGACGCTGCAGAACTTGCAGGTGCTTCCTGGTGAATTCAAGGCCGCGGGTCGCGGTGAGTCATGTAGACGGGTCCATTTTGGCGATCGCACGAACTTGTGTTCGCGCTTCGCTGCCGCCCTTTGGTCACCAGGCGACGACGTGGAATGCAGAGGTGGGTCACAAGAGTGGGCATCATCCGCCAACGTACACGTTACCGTGTACTTTGTTTAGCATCCGGGGGCTGGTGGTCGGACCGAGACCGCAACTGCGTTCATTTTGAGGTCAATGACTCGCAACATCGGCAGCTGGATTCACAGCGATGCGGTTGCCCAGAGTGGTCGACGGAAGAGACACACGGTTGCCGCGCGCACTCTGATCCGACGCGCCTGGTTTCATGGACCGCGGGAATCGAAGTTGGCGACGTCCTTCGACCTCCCACAACGCATATATGGGCAATCACTTATCCAGGCTGTAATGCAGCGCTCAAGCGAGGTTTCTACGCCGGCACCGCCGCTGAATTCCCGTGCAGCGCCAGTGGTGCAGCGCTAGACTCTGGCCACGGTCGCAACAAGTTGCTCGTCACGGTTGCCAATCGCCGTCGAGAGGCCGATGGCCATTCCAACGACCGTCTTGTCCACAAGAGATTGCGTTGGTCATGTCCAACGGCGGACCGACCCATATTTTTTCCCAACTTACAAGTCGGTTTTTGGTTATTGAAGAGCTGCGAATAGCAAGCAGGGAGTGCTCGTGCGTTGGTTTTGGCGGGAATCCAACGACGGAAACGTGGTTTTGGTAAGCCAGCGTTTCCTGGATTTATATACGCGTCGCGACTTGTGCATAGAAACAGATCTGGAAGCTACTACAGATGTGTACACTACTATGTGATGCTTGGTCCTTGGGTGGGCAAAAGCTCGCTGCCTCCTCGATGGAACAATCTACGTGGAAGAACCGGCCACGAAGGTGTGGTTCTGCGATCCCAGTGCTTTCACATCAGAGGTCGGCAACTACATCGCTCAGTGTAGCCTGAATGTAGATACGTGCGCACCTCAACACGACTGTATTCCACACGACGGTCCCACGACGCCAAGGCGCCAAAGCCAGTGGTCTTGGCCAGACTCGCGATCGATCGGAGGTTGCCTGGCCTCTCACTCCGCCTGCCACGTATGGTCACCTCTTCTAAATCGATATCTAAACAACGATTTGACAGAGGTTGTCGCTATCAAAGCGAAGCGCGCCCCAAGATCGACGAACCAACCGCCTTGCGTGGCACGAGTCGCAGGACAGAGCTCCTCGGGGCCATGCAAATCGATTCTCGCATTGCCCGATGTGAGACGAGTGTCAGCGTGTTGAGGCTAGTGGTATCATCGCGTGCACGAGGACTTATGACGAGGACTCATGACTGGGACTTATGCCACACCAAGGGCCAAGCAACCGTTGAACAGACCCTTGGTTCCTGTACTGGCTCCGTGACCCGTTGTTCTGGCCCACGTCACGCTTCCGCAACAACTTGTCAGCCGCATCACACTGCGAGGCTATCGCCCACTACAGTCTGTACCATGACCAGCTTGGTGAGTTCGGTGCAAGTCTCTTCAACGCCCAGCGTGTCACGCGCATGACCTGCGCATCAGGACAGCACGGTGGTTTCCGGGTCTTTCTCGCCCAGCGACGATCTTCTGCTTCTGACAGGGGTCCATTGTCCTACATCGGAGCGACACTCTGTGCATCCAGCAAGCTTGCAGCACAATCGGGCAACGAGGTTGATCCGCTCCGAGATTTTAACCAATGGCATCGCGTTGCGCACCAAAAATTGGCCAATGGCCTTGCGCAATACGAAATTCATTGCCGCAGTGTCTCATACAATGTAAACGTTTAAATGCCCTCTGGAAACACCTTGGAATTGTATGGGATCACAATCGCGTGCAAAATAATACGCCTCGCCACGCAGCCGGTGAGGGGCAGAAAAAGTCTGCGTCGACGATGCTCAGCCGCGGCCGGTCCAAGAAGGCGTCCGCGACCGTCGACGACCTCACGCTGCTCGTGACGCTCGATGAAGCCACGATCCTCCATGCGCTGCAGCGGCGCTTCGAGCACGACGAGATCTACACGAGCACGGGCGCGATCCTCGTTGCCATCAACCCCTTTGCGCCCATGCCCCACATCTACGACGAGCACACCAAGGGCTTGTACATTGAGCACGGCAACCGAAGGGTCCACGGCGAGAAGCTGCCCAAGCTGCCGCCGCACATTTACGCGGTCGCCGACACGGCCTTTCGCGATATGAACAAGGACACGTGGGTGGACGCGTCGCTCGCCAACTCGAACGTGCTCGATGCGCTGCGCGCCGAGGCGTCGCCCACGATTGCTGTGCAAAACCAAAGCATCCTTGTGAGCGGCGAGTCGGGCGCGGGTAAGACCGAGACGACCAAGATCATCATGAACTACCTCGCATCGGTCTCGTCGGCGACGACGCAGAATGGCCACGCTGCCGAGCGAGAGAACGTGCGCAACCGCGTGCTCGAGTCCAACCCGATCCTCGAAGCCTTTGGCAACGCCCGGACCAACCGCAACAACAACTCGTCCCGCTTCGGCAAGTTTATTCGCCTCGGCTTTGCCAAGGACGGGACGCTCCTCGGTGCGTCGATCGCCACGTACCTCCTCGAACGCGTCCGGCTCGTCTCGCAGTCGATCGGCGAGCGCAACTACCACATCTTTTACGAGCTCTTACGTGGCGCGTCGCCCGACGAGCTCGCTGCGCTCAGTCTGACACATGTCGAGGACTACAAGTACCTCAACCAGACGCAGTGCGTGGACCGCAAGGACGGCGTTGACGACGGCGACCAGTACACCAAGACGCGCCACGCGATGACGACGATCGGCATGTCGGACGAGGAGCAGCGCAGTGTGCTCGCGCTGGTGGCCGCCGTCCTGCACCTTGGCAACATAACGTTTGTCCCGCTCGACGGCGAGAACGAAGGCTGTCGCATCTCAAACGAGAGTGCACTGGCGTCGGCGAGCTGCCTCCTCGGTGTCGACAAGGCCACGCTGCAGAAGAACTTGTGCAGCCGCGACATCCGAGCTGGTGGCGACGCGATCACGGTGCTGCTCTCGCCCGAGAAGGCCGAGGTGACGCGGGACGTCATGGCCAAGACCATTTACTCGCACCTCTTTGACTGGCTCGTCGACCGCATCAACGTCTCGATCGGGTACGTTCCGCCGACGGAGGAGCGCTTCATCGGTGTCGTCGACATCTTTGGCTTCGAGATCTTTGCGACCAACTCGCTCGAGCAGCTCTGCATCAACTACGCCAACGAGAAGCTCCAGCAGCTCTTCTCGCAGTTTGTCTTTGAGAAGGAGCAGGAGGAGTACGTCAAGGAGGCGATCCCGTGGACGTTTGTCGAGTACCCCAACAACGACGCGGTCGTCACCATGTTCGAGTCGGTGCGCCCGATGGGCCTCTTTGCGCTCTTGGACGAGCAGTGCAAGCTCCCGAACGGCAACGACGTGAGCTTGTTCACCACGTACTTTGACAGCTTTGCGTCGACGCCGCACCTGCATGTCTCCAAGCTGCAGCGCGGCGTCCAGCTCTTTGTCGTTGCGCACTACGCCGGCGCCGTGCCGTACGCCGCCGCGGGCTTCTGCGAGAAGAACAAGGACCACGCGCACACCGAGGCGGTCGGGTACCTCGCGTCGTCCTCGACGCCGCTGCTCCAGACGCTCTTCACGGCCTCCGCCGGCTCGAGTGCTGTGACCAAGCAGCCGTCGACGGTCGTCGCCAAGTTCAAGTCGCAGCTCGCGAGCTTGCTCTCGCTATTGCATTTGACCGCGCCCCACTTTATCCGGTGCATCAAGCCCAATGACGCGGCGTCGTCGACCGACTTTACCGTCGACCGCGTCGCCGAGCAGCTCCGGTGCTCCGGTGTCCTCGAAGCCGCCAAGATCTCGCGCACGGGGTACCCTATCCGCTTCCCGCACGCGGCGTTCGTGCACTCGTACCTCTGCTTGACGCCGTCCGTGGCGCTGGACAAGGAGAACCTCCGGGGCACCGCGTCGGCGATCGTCGCTGCCTTCCGCGCCGGCACGTTCCTCCAGCCTCCGAACGCACCGCCGATCCAGTTTGCGAACGAAGGCCGCGACAATTTCCAGGTCGGCTTGACCAAGGTCTTTCTACTTCTCGGCGTCTACACGCAGCTCAACGAGGTGCGCGAAGCACTCTTTGGGAAGGCCGTCATCACCATGCAGCGCGTCGTGCGCGGCTATTTGGCCCGTGTTGTCTACTGTCGGGTTCGGGCCGGGGTCGTTCGCCTCCAAGCTACCTTCCGCGCAAGACGCCAAGCGCGTCACTACGAGCGTCTGCGCGCCAGTGCGATCGTCGCCCAAGCTGCCATTCGCCGGTTCCTCGCGCGCCGCCGGTACCGCAAGGTGCAGCGCGCCGTGCTCACGCTGCAGTGCGCGATCCGCTGCCATCTCGCCCGCAAGCAAGTCCAGGCCAAGCGGTCCGTCGCCGCGACCATTCGCCTCCAGTCGATCATTCGCATGCACCAAGTGCGCATCCGCATCCGGCCGCTGCTGAACGCAGCGCGCGAGGCCGCGGCAGCCAAGCGGGCGGCCGAGGCAGCGGCGCTGGCGGCCGTGCCGGTGCTCCCGACGCGCACCCGCCCGGCGCGAAGTGTGTTTGTGGAAGAGTTTAGCGAGTCGGACTCGGACGACGACGACTCGATCTCGTTCGTCGACCGTCGCAGCACGCGCCTCTCGCTCGCGGCGTCGACGACCGCGTACTCGGTCATTGTCGAAGCGGGCGGCAGCCTCGGGGTCACGCTGGACGTCAGCAACGGCGACGTGCTCGTCCACCGTGTGCACCCGACGCTGAGCACGACCGCCGACGTGTTGCAGGTCACGGCCGGAGATACGCTCGTGTCGATCGACGGCCGCCCGCCAATGGTGCCAACCTCGATGCCAATCTCGGTCGGGGGCTGCCGCCGCTGCTTCTTCTTTCCGCCGGTCGCGCACCCGACGCTGTTTGAGTTTGAAAAGGCGGCGTCCGGCCTCGTGCGCGTGGCCTCGAGTACGACGTCGTCGGCCAAGTTGTACGACGTGCTCTGGCTCGAGGACAAGAGCCTCGGGCTCGCGCTGCGCCAAGACGCGACGACTGCGCGCTGTGTGGTGACCAAGATCTCGGCCTACCACAACCCCGGCATGGTCAACGTCCACGAGCAAGATGTGCTCCTCGCCATCAACGGCAATGCTGTTGGCCAAATGGAGTTTCCGGTCATTTGCGACCTCCTCGCCCAAGCGTCGCGCCCGCTCGTGCTGAGCTTCGAGTCGAGTGTCCGCTCGTATCACACGTCGTCCGTGACGCTGCTCAACGGCGCGGTGCTCTTCCACGTCATCTGGGACGGCGGCCGCCTCGGCGTCGCGCTCAAGAAGAACGCGGCGAAGAAAGGCCCATTCCCGTACGTGGCCAAGGTCCAGGCCGGCGACTCGGTGATCGGACGCTTCAACGCCAAGCGGTCGCCGCTCGGCATCAAGGTCTCGCGCGGCGACAAGCTCGTCAAGGTCAACCACCAGAGCATCCGCGACGTGCCATACGAGAGCCTCCTCACGCAGCTCCGGGCCGGCGCCAAGCCCATCATCCTCAGCTTCCTCAAAGGCAAGAAGACCAAGACCGTCGTGGCGTAAAGACGCTCTACTTAACCTATGTCATACACCGTATACCGATCCCCACTCCATGATGTCGACGTGCCTGGGCCTGTATGAGAGCACGAGACAGGCCGCGGTTGCGCCTCGCTACCTGCTTGTTCAGCGGCGAATGCGCCATCATCGGCTGGCATCATCTGCTGCGATGCGCATGGAAGGCGATGGGCCACGGCAGATGTCGCCGCCATGGCGTCGCCAAGCATCGTCCTCGTCATGCGGAGGACGTCGCCGGTACGTGCACCAGCGCGCGAGGTGCGACATCAAGCAGCGGCCGGCGACGGTTGATGGCCACGGATCGATCGCGAGCTTCCACGATTCTTCTGGGCCCAGCGACAGCGCAATCACCGAGGACCCCTACCCGCGATGACAAAGCAGCCAATCACAGCGCTGTATGAAGTTACGCCCGTTCATGCGGATGCAGTTCAGATCCCGTCCTTGCCCCATGCCACCGCTCGGCGACCACTGCCCGCTCCTCCCGTCCACCTTGGCCTCGACGCCGACGTCGGCGACGCTACTACCGCCGCTGCTATCGGCGCCGCCGCGACTACCGCCCTCACTACTACACACGCCGACGGCGGCGGCGGCGGCCGATCTCCGGAACTGGCTTCTGCACCACCAGGTCGACCTCGACCGCGTGGCGTTTGGCGCTGGCGCCGTCGCCCAAACCGCCTTGACCAAAGGTACCCGCGTGCGCACATCGATGGTACACGAGGCTGAAGCATACGATTAGGCGCCACCTCGCTCGCCGTACCGTTTGCGCTGACCATGAACGTGCACTCGGCGCGGTCGTCGGACCTCGCGCCGCTGCTACAGCGCGAGTCGACGCTCCTCGACAACGAAGTGCTCGTCTTGCATCTCGTGTACGAGCGGCTCAAGGGCGACGCGTCGTTTTGGGCGCCGTTTCTGCGGTACCGACGTGACGAGCACCGCCGACGTCTCATGCTGCACCGTATGGCGTAGGAGCCTTCCGGCGAGCTTCGACACGCCGATTTACTGGTCGCACGCCGAGTTCCACGAGCTCAAGGGCACCAACGTCGCGATGCTCACCAACGTGCTTCGGCAGCAACTCGTCGCCGACTACACGACCATCTACCACCGGATCTGCCTCCGGTACCCGCAGATGTTTCCGCTTGACCGCGTCTCGATCGGCGACTTCAAGTGGGCGCTCAGCGTGCTCTCGTCGCGGGCGTTTGGTATCACCAAGGACGGCGAGTACCTCCAAGTGCTCTGCCCGGGCCTCGATCAGCTCACGCACGACGTCAACCTCCACGTCCCCCTCGACGAAGTCATTGTGTTTGACGCGTCGACGCAGGTACCTTGCCATCTTTGTACATTGAGGCTACATATCTCGTAGACTCTGGAACACCATGTGCATGACGCTGTCGCGGCCGGGGCGCCGCTCACGATCAGCTACGGCCCGTACTCGAACGCCAAGCTCCTCTGCGCCTACGGCTTTGTCGTGCCAGGTCCATTTTCTTTTTCTCAACAGCAACTCAAAACCCACATTGTGCAGGCAATCTCAACTGCGGCATTGACTTTTGGCTCGACATTCCGCGCTCGGACCGCTACTTTCGGCTGAAGAAGGCGCTGCTCGACTCGAACGCGCTCACGGCGGCGCAAACGTACGACTTTGAGGGCACGCTGCTCGGCCACGCGGTCTCGGAGCGGCTCCTCGCGACCGTCCGCATCATCCGCATGCACGAGACGGAGATCGACGCCCACAACAACGTAAGCCTCTCCGTTCTGAGAGGGTGGGTGCTGAGGACAAGGAGTAGGCGTTCAAGAGCCAAATGATTTCGCGCAGCAACGAGATGCTCGTGTACGACAGCCTCATTGCGGCCTGCCGCCAAAAGCTCCAGTCGTACACGTGCACGTACGTCCGACTTGATACACTGATAGTGCGTGACGTGGCACGCGTAGGCTCAAGCAAGACGACGCACTACTGGCGTCGGGCATGGCGATGGGCAACCGGCTACAGATGGCGCTCCAAGTGCGCATGGAGGAGAAGCGCGTGCTGGTTGAGACGATTGAGACGCTCAACCAGTGGAGTGACTACCTCATGATCAAGCAAGACACTGACACGCTCGTGTACCCGCCCCACGACGTCACCATGGCCTTGTAGCTTTAGTATTTATCCGCCCCGCTGCTCTTGAAGTGGGGCGGTACCCTCCGCAATTTCAGTACCAGTAGTAGTAGAATGAAGTAGTAAGAGTTAGTCGACTCCTAAGATTAATATAAAGATGCATGCGAACCAGTGGGTATCAAAGTAACCCTACCCACTACTGTGGCTTCATGTCCACCCCGCACAGAGGTCGACAGCAGATAGACGAACGATAGTGTCCAGGCGATAATTAGGTTTGCGTTTAACCCTAAACAACAACGACCGAGGGCGGGTACGCCGTCGACGACTCGTCTTGGTGGAGCAGAAATTCCTTCCACTTGGAGAGCGTCACGATCGTGTCTTGGAGCGTGCGCTTGTCCTCGATGCGCACTTGGAGCGCAAACGTCAGGTACACATTGTTGTTGGTGCCCGCGGCCAGCAGCTCTTCGTCTTGCTTGAACCTACGGGCAACTTGAAACATTGATACTTTTTCAGAGGCGGTGTACGTGGTCGTAAACGTCTGCAGCTTGCGGCGGCACGACAAGATCAAGTTGTCGTACACGGCGAGCTCGTTGCGGCGCGTAATCATACGCCCTTGAAAGGCCTAGGCATGTCTGAGCCTCCTCAACCGCTCGCAATGTGGTACATACGTTGTTGCGGTGGACGATCTCGGTCTCGTGCATGAGGATGATGCGCAGGGTCGCGAGTAGCCGCTCCGAGACGCCGTTCCCGAGCAGCGTGCCTTCAAAGTCGTACGTCTGCGACGCCGTGAGTGCGCTTGCATCGAGAAGCGACTTCTTGAGCTTGTAATATGGGTCGGACGCCGGAATGTTGAGCCAAAAGTCAATGCCACGGTTGGGGTTCCCGGGCACGACAAAGCCATACGAGTAGAGCAGCTTGGCGTTCGAGTACGGGCCGTAGCTAATGTTGAGCGGCGTGCCGGCGCGGCAGGCTTGGTGCACGCGGTGGCTCATGAGCTACAGGCATGTCGTTCGGAGAATGGCGAGTGATGAAGAGGACCGACCTGCGTCTTGTCGTCGTAGTTGACAAAAGCGTCGAGCGGCGCCGTAATGTGCACGTCGTGGTTGAACATGTCCATGGCCGGGCAGAGCACATGGAGGTACTCGCCGTCCTTGACGACGCCAAACGCTCGGCTCCAAATGACGCTGAGCGCCCACTTGTAGTCGGCGACCGAGAGGTTCTCGCTCTTGAAGAGCGACGAGTACCGCTGGAAGATGGGCCGGTGGATCGATGTGTAGTCGGCGATGATCTGCTGGCGCATCATGCTGCCGAGGAGCGCGACGTTCGTGCCTCGGAGCTCGTTAAAGATGGCGTCGGGCCAGAAGATGGGCGTGTCGAACGTCTGCGGCATGCTCCTACATAGGCGATGGTATCGGATGGAAAGCCATCGATGCGTACCGAATGAACGGCGCCCAGAACGACGCGTCGCCCTTCTGGCGCTCGTACATGAGATGCAGCGCAAGAATCTCGTCCGGCGGGAGGCTCAAAATGTGATCCTGCTGAAAGATCGGCGCCAGGTCCGAGGTTAGCGCCGACTGCACGTTCATCGTGAGCTTGAACGGGATGTCGATCGTGTGTTCACCTACCGAGCATTCGTCAAGGCGGCGGCGGTCACCTACACTGTACCTTGGGCAAAGTCCTTGGCCGCGACGACGCCATGGCCTTCGCCAGGGCCGTAGTAGACGATGTTGAAGTGCTGGAGCGAGACGCCGTGGCTGCTCAGCCACGCCTGGAGGTCGGCGACCACGGCCTTCGAGTCGACCATTGGGGATATTCGGGATTGCGCAGTCTCGGACGATTGACCGCCAAGCTGATTGCGCAACGCCACCAGTTTGGCCCGGTTATCCGGATAACGGTATCCGGATATGACGTGGCACGGCTAGAACGAGTAGGCGGGAAGTAGCGGCCATTTGCGCTCCGTCCTGCAAAGGTGACGGTGGGTGCGTCATGACTCGTATGTCCTGGCTGTTGCACCAAGGTAGTCCTAGCTCGAAGATTGCTGGAAAGAACCGCCAGCTCTCAGCTCGTAAGACGGTGTGTTCCGAGAGCATCCTCCTCCGCGAAGTAGCTTGCGTTGACCATCGCGTTGACAGCTGCCACCGTCACGACGTATGTACCACGGCAGGTATTCTTGTGGTCCTTGGCGTTGACAAGGTGGGTCCTTATGCTGCGTCTGCCACATGGCATAGATAGCGTTCACGTTGGGACGGTCCAACGGTTACGAAGCTAGAACTGCAGCGCGCGTTGGGTCGGCACGTCCACATCGTCGTCGTCGTCTGCAACTCGCTGCGGATCCGAGCGCGCATGCCAGCTCAGTCGCTCGATCGAGCTCGTGACTTGGCGCAGCCGCGCGTCCGACGACGTCGTGCTCGGCGGAGTCGTCGGCCGCGCCGAGCTCGTCAAGTCGTACTGCAGCATCGGTGTCGGTGGGCAGAGCGGCCCTGCTTCGTCAGATTCTTGTGTCGGGTCTCGCGCCAACTCGGCGGTTAAACGTGCAATGTTGTCGCAAAGAGCGGACCCAGCGAGCACGTGCAAGTGGCTCTGCTCCACAGCCGACGCCAGTGTCGAGGTCGCTCGGGGCGAGAGTGAGGCGGCTCCGCTACGGCCCTGGAGCGTGTTGTGTAGCGCTTGGATTGCACGGGTGGTGGCCTCAAGCGCGCCGAGGATGCCGCCGGCGTGCTTGGACTGCAGCACCGGCGGTGCTCGTGCGTGCGCCTCGACGGTCTGGAGGACGCCGGCAAAGTCATGGACGGGGCACTGCGCCAAGGCGCTGTCGACGTCGCGCCACTGCTGCAGTAGCTTCTCGAACGTCTCTTGCCGGTCGCGATGACCCGTCTCGGTAAGCACCCCGGGCGGAACGTGGTCCTTCCACGCAGCGTACTCGGCGAGACGGTGGCGCTACGTGCGCTTCGATTTCGTCTCCTGTAGCATGCACAGACAGCCAGCAGTACCTCTTGGTCTTGGATCGCGGCCATGTCGCGTGTGATCTCGTTTGCTTTGCGTTGCCAGGCGGCTTGCAGGCGCCGTCGGCGGTGGGTCGCGGCTTCAATCTGACGGGTCTTCATTGCGACCTTGGCTTGGAGCGTCTGAAGGAGCTGCGCGCTTTGAAGCGTTGGGCTATGCAGCGATGGAGCCCCGGCAAGCGACTGCATGGCGATGGTGGAGAGCCGCCACAAGAGATCAACGGCGCGTGTCGGTTGCGTCGCGATCGCCGCCAGCCTACGCAATGGTCATGGCCTGTTTTGCCGACTGCGGCAAGCGCACCGAGACATGTTGCTGCTGCCAATGGGCAGTCGCTTGGTGAGCACGAGCGGCTCGAGCTGCTGCTGGAGCAGCTTCTTCAACGTCGTCTTGGTGCTGGGCGTGAGCGGGAAGAGCGTGCGGGCTGTGGCCTCAAAGCTGGCGTCGCACTGCAGGCAGAGGAAGTGCAGTGCGCAGAGTACATCTGTCTCTGTTGGCGCCGTCAGCTGCAGCCCGCCATCGTACCCGAGGAGCTGCAGGTTGCGCCGGAGCAGGTCCGCTTTTCGTAGCGTCATGCTACTTGTCGCGGCAAATGCCACGTCTCGAGTGCCGAAACCAAGAAAAATGCCACCTTAGACAATCGAATCTCAGAGGGAATATCGCTTTGTAGAGGTTGACGACAGAGTCGATCTTGCGCAAGCCGCCCCACGCCATGCCCCGGGACCGCCTGTCGAGCGACCTCTCGTCCGGTCCATCGCGCTCGCGCAGCAACGCGCGGACGTCGAACCCATCGGTGGCCCATGACATGATCCCGCTGCCAGCGTCGCTGCGGTCCGGGCCCTCGGCGTCGCTGCTGTGCCCGCCCATTGACGAGCTGCCGACCGATGGCATGATCCACGCCGAAGACATCTTCCGCGAGTCGTTCGAGAGCTACACGAGCGACTACGACACGAACGGCTGGGAGTTCTCGTCATCGCGGTCGCTCACGGACTTTGCCATGTCGTCACGGTCGATGCACGACTTTGGCGCCTCGTCGCGATCGCTCCTGGACTTTGCCGCGTCGTCGCGGTCGCTCCACGAGTTTGCCACGTCGCGCTCGACGCTGACCAACCGCATGTACCGTGCGTCCAACTCGGCGCGCGAAAGCATGATGCTTGAAGAGATCTCCGAGACGGACCTCTCGGCCGTGCTCGACGAAGAAGACGAAGAGACCATCATGCACGAGAAGCGGTCCAACTCGATCATGTCGGAAGACAACGAGTTCAAGCAGCGACAGGCCAAGTCCCGCTGGGCGCAGCAAGTCAAGCTCAAGGCGACGCGGTTCCTCGAAGCCTCCAAGGCGCAGCTCGCCGCGAACCACTCGAGTTCGTTCAAGAAGGGGTCGTCCCTCGATGTACGTCGTCGTCATCCTCTCGTAGCTCGAAGAGCGTGACAAGGAGCGTAGGCAGCGATTGCAGCGGCGGCCGGGCACCCCGAAGGCTCGACGCTGCAGAAATGGAACCGATGGCTCTACGACCACTACAGCACCAACGTCAAGAGCGTGCCCACGTCGTGGGGCAAGGTGCTGCAGCTGCCCAACACGATTGCCAAGTGGAATCGTGAGGTTTGTCCACCGCCTCCGCGCGACAAAGCTCATTTTCCGGTGCTAGGACCCGCAAACGTCCCACCCGATCGAGCCACTGAGTCTTGTCGCGCTCGAAGAGGTCGTCAACACACCCAAGATGATGCGCTACTACGCTTCGTGGCTCAAGACCGAGCAAGACCAGTGCAAGCTCTTCTTCCTCTGCAGCCTTGACGAGTACCGGTACGATCATCGCATCCTTCCTGCCATCTCTCATCAACGCATGGCGGTAGTGTGTTTTGGCGCATGGTGGTGCAGCGACCCGACATGACCGCATCGTCCAAGTCGCTCCTCGCGATGAGCGACGAGAACAAGAGCCTGCTCCAGACGTACGGCCAGAAGCTCTTGCTCAAGTACGTCACGGCCGGCTCGCAGTTCTACGTCGGTGACGACATGGTCGTCCACCTCCCAACTGTCCAAGCCGACATTCACAACGGCGGCGAGGCGGCGCTGCATGCGTTCGACCAGATCGCACGCAACGTCAAGCAGCATTTGATGCTGACGTTTCCGTCGTTCCGGACCACCGACCTGTACGCCGACATGCTCGCGAGCGTCGAGCGCACGCTCCTGCCGCTCGACGCGATTCTGCTCAACCGGCTGCTGTGCAACTTTTTCTGGCTCTTCCTCTTCCAGCACCAGTACCACAATGAAGTCGCCTTGTACATGGAGATCCAGTACGACTTCAAGCGGCTCTACCGACAGTACGCCGACTCGAAGCTGCCGCGCAAGACGCGCATGCAGCTCGGGTCGGACGCGGTCGCGATGCTGCAGTACATTCGGCAAAAGTACTTTGACGGCAACGACGACTTTACCGATTTGGAAGCGTCCGTCTCGGCGGCCCATACGCGGCTCCACAAGGAACAAGAAGCCATTTTTGAAAAGCTCGAGGAAAACTACGAAGAACTCTACTTTCGGTACGTCGAATGTGCCCATCGATTCGGAAAATTTGATTTGTGATGAATTGTAGGTTTATCGCGAGCCCAGCGTACGCGGAATTTGCCTTGTACCCGCGCAGCAACTCGGACGACAGCGTGCATCGGCTCTCGGAGCTCCTCTTGCACTACGGTCTCCGCGCTCACCCGCCCGTGATGGCGCCCGAGCGGCCGCGCCCGTCGCTGCTCGAGATGCCAAAGTCGTGGGTCTACTCGATCGTGAGCTTCGAGTCGGTCTTCCGCGCCGACGGCCACACGTTTGAGCTGCAGTGGATCTCGTACGACGAGCACATGGACCTCGACCAGACGATCGAGTCGTTCCTCGTGCCATGGTACATTCGATTCTAGAATCCAGAATCTAGAATCTGGTACCGGATATCTGATATGGCGGGTGATAAGGTGCAAGGACGCGAGTCAGTGCGTCATGCTCAGTCACGCGACGCCCGACCCAATCGCGTTCAACACGCGCGCGCTCACGGGCGAAACAGAGCTCTTTGGCGCAGTCCTCACGCTCTTCAAGCCGTTCCGCGACGATGCGAAGGGCGCATCGTACTACATTCCCTTTGGTCTATATACTCGATCGGCACTGTCAGTTATATAACGCTCATCGTAGGTGTCGCCGTCTTCTCAATGTTCCCGCTCTTTGACACTCTCCGCGATCGACTCGGAGAAGCGTACAAGAGCCTTGCGCCGTCGACGTCGACGTCGTCGTTTCACTTGGACGAAGCGGTTGTCTCGGCCATCTCGCGGCCGGTCGTCGACGTCCTCCCGTCGTTCGTCGCCTCGCTGCCGCCGCTTGGCTTTTCCCTGCACCTCCTCTTTGACACGCTCGACGTGTCGAACGTGCTCACAGTCTTTACGGCCGTCCTCCTCGAGTGTCGGGTGCTGCTCATCTCGTCGCAGTACACAGTGCTGGCGCTCGTGGCCGAGACGCTCCGGACGCTGATTGCACCGCTCAACTGGCCGCACGTGTACGTGCCCGTGCTCCCCGGCCGCATGCTCGACTACCTCCAGTGCCCGACGCCGTTTCTCTTTGGCGTGCAGAAGGACCTCCTCGACGCCAGCCTCCTCAGTACGCCGTTTTGTTTGTACCATATCAACTTGATAGACTGCGGTAGGCGAGCTCGGCGACGAAGTGCTCTGCGTCGATCTCGACACGAGCATGGTCGTGCAAGGCGAGATTCCGGTCGGGCTTCCAACGCCAGTGTGGAAACGCCTTCACTCGTACGACGAACTTGGTATCGCGAAGGACTAACGACGGCTAGGACGCTCCGGAGCTGCCTCAAGGCCCACGTGACGCAGAGCGACCATGTGTTTGGAAGCTCATTCCCGCGCCAAGTGGCGCCGTTTCCCGACGTGCGCATCCGCCTCGCGTTCAAAGAGGCGGTCGAGATGCTCATCGGGACGGGCGACAACGACGAGGGCGCCGACGTGCATTTTGGCCGGTTCCGCTACCTCTGGGACGACCAGTACCAGGAAAAGGTCGTCTTCTTCGACGAGGCTGGGTACCTCGCGCTCTCGCCGCTCGCCATGCGGCCGTTCCGGACGTCGTTCATCTCGACGCAGGCGTTCTCCGAGTACGTTGTTGTCCGCAACGGCTTTCGTGACAAGCAGCGATGAGATGGCAATGCAATCGTCTTCTTCTTCGTCGCATCGAGCCGAGATGGCATACGTGACTACCTGGCTCAGACCACAGCAGCATCGTCTCTTAGTGAAGATTACATGGAGTGGCTCCTACTACGACTCTAGTCGCTGCGCGGACCAAAAAAGATGTACCGGCGCCAGCCCGACTTGGCAAAGTCGCAGCCGTTCTCCGTGAGCTTCTGGAAGGCCTTGGCAAAGTCCTTGTGCCAGAGGTCTTCGTCCTTGGCGTACAGCTCGACGTACTTTTTAAACTCGGGGTCCCAGAGGAACGCCATGTCGGCCGGCAGCATCATGAGGTCGCCTGTCGGGTCTTCGTACTGCTCCGGGCCCTTCCACTTCTTGATCGTCCACTTGTTCTCGATGAGCTCGCGAAAGTACTCGTTCGAGAACGTCGTCTCTGCGCGGGTCCACGGGCCCGAGTAGCCGCTGCGGCTCGGGTAGCAACGACCCACCGCGTGGGCGCCGACGAGCGCGACGATCTCGCGGTCATTGAAGCCCATGCGGTAGAAGACATCACGGATGTGGCTAATCGTCGATGGCTTGGAGCCCTTGTCGCCGGCAGGAAGACGGTCATCGGGCGTGACCTGTTCGCCCACCTTGGCGTCCTTGCGGCCAAGGTGGAAGGGCACCTCGGGGCCGCCCATCTCGGCGATCGCAACGACGCCCGAGTAGATGAAGAGATCGGCGTACGAAATTTCGGGGTGGCGGGCCTTGACCGACTCGAGGCGGGCGATCGCGAGGTTGAGGCCAGCGTTGCCACCGTGGTTGATCTCGGGCTCGTTGCGGATGGTGCCGCCCTTGGAGCCGCCCGAGTGGTCGTGCTTGCTGTAGCTGCCCGACGAGTGCCACGCGAGGCGCACAAAGGTCGGGCCCATGGCCGGCTCGTCGTCAATGAGGTCGACAATCTCCTTGCGGATCTTTTCGAGGTTGACCTTGGCTTCCTGCGCCTGGAGGAGCGAGGCCGTGACCCCGGTCGTGACGAGGAAGGCGCCGGCCATGGCCGTGGCCTTCGAGGCCGAGCTCTGGCGGGCGGCGACGCTCATGGAGCGGGCGAGGAGCCGGGGCGCGCCGGCGCGGGCGGCGATCCGGGTGGCGCGGGACGCAGCGTTGCGGAACATGTTGCTGGCGAAGGCGAATTGGCAAATGTGGCGTCAGTACGATCTTCCTTCAAGGCGCACCTGGATCGCGCAGGACGCAGCTGCACCCGCACCAATTACTTGTTGTTTGTATCTCGATGTAGAATCAGGTGCGCTTTTACATGAAAAGCACACCTTGCACCCAAGTGCAACCTGGTCAGGCTTTCTGGCCACGCGAAGGATCGGGACGTTGAAGGCAACGGCTCCGGCGTCGACCTGCGCAAGCTTCGCACGCATAACACTCCAGCTACCTGCCTTGCTCATCTACGTATTTTCTCCTTGATGCATGCCATACACATCGCGACCTGGCGCTTGCCAGAGGCTGTGCCAGACGCCAGAAGCGTCATCTTGGCGCCCATGTGGTCGCCAGGTCATCGCTTCGCCAGCCGAGATGCAGCGATTGTACTGCTGAACGTCACGCGTCGCTGCCACGTCAGAGCCGCATCGCGAACCTTCCTGGGCCACGTCGCGATCTTTCGCCGTGTGATCCATGGATGGGCTTGCCGTCTGGGGCAAAGTCGTACATGTCGCAGACTTCGCGCACCTCCGATTCGCCAAGACCTATGTCATGCTATTTGTATGGAACTGGAGCCATCAGTGCGCGCACTTGAAAGTCATGACCATCATTCGATATATCCATGGACGAGCGTGTCTCAAGATCAAGCGTTGTTCCGAGGGCCATCGGATTGCTCGCGATCTTGGTCGTGGGCCGCTTGTTCCGTAGCTCATTCTGCATTTCGCCACCAACTATTAATACACCCAGTACCAACATGTTCCGCACCGCCTTCGCCCGCGCCACCCGCGCTGCGCCGCGAGCTTTTGCCCGCTCGCTCAGCGTGTCGACAGCCCGGCGGCCAGTCTTCGCGTCGCCGACGACGGCGCTTGTCGGCGCCTTCTTCGTGACGACCGCCACGTCCGTCTCGCTCTTGCACGCCAAGGAGGCGAAGAAGCCCAACCTCGACCAGATCCGCAAGGAGATTGTCGACCTCATGGACGACGACCCGGCCATGGGCCCGACCTTCGTCCGCCTCGCGTGGCACTCGTCGGGCAGCTACAGCAAGCACGACCACTCGGGCGGCTCCAAGGGCGGCACCATCCGCCACAAGCCCGAGAGCGCCCACGGCGGCAACGCGGGCCTCGACATTGCCGTGGCGCGTCTCGAAGCCATCAAGGCCCGCCACCCCGAGATCACATTCGCCGACCTCATCATCTTCTCTGGCGTTGTGGCGATCGCCGAGATGGGCGGCCCAGACGTCGGGTTCCGCGTCGGTCGCAAGGACGTCAAGGCCGGCGAGCTCGTGACGCCGGATGACCGCCTCCCGAACGCCGACAAGGGCTCCAAGCCAAAAACCATCAGCCACATCCGTGATGTCTTCTACCGCATGGGCTTCAACGACCGCGAAATCGTCGCGCTCGTCGGCGCCCACGCAGTTGGTCGTTGCTACCCGAGCCGCAGCGGCTACTCGGGCCCGTGGACCCGCGCAGAGACGACGTTCTCGAACGAGTACTTTCGCGAGCTCATCGAGAACAAGTGGACGATCAAGAAGTGGAAGGGCCCGGAGCAGTACGAAGACCCGACAGGCGACCTCATGATGCTGCCGGCCGACATGGCGTTCCTCTGGGACCCCGAGTTTAAAAAGTACGTGCAGCTCTACGCCAAGGACGAAGACGCCTTCTTTGCCGACTTTGCCAAGGCCTTCCAAAAGCTCACGGAGCTTGGCGTCACCTTTGAGTAGAAAGCGAAGAGGCGCCATCAATAACTTCTGTACAACTAACTAACTCGTCTATAAGTACTCAGAGTCAGGGTTATTCCGGGGTTATTCGCATGTGCGTCAACCGGAGAGGGAAAAGTGGGATCTCATGAGATCACCCAACGAAAATCACTCTGACGCCAAGCCAATAACCCCTCACATTTCACGCCAGCCCGACTCCTGGACTCTGGTCGCGCCAGAATACTCTGCATGGCTGCGATCTGAAAACAGTCCACATCACCAGAATCTGGTTGGAAGCGTTTCTAGGTCTACACGGCGTGGCCGTAGAGGTGCTGGAAATGGTTGAGCAACTTCACGGGCGACGCCGACGAGAGAAGGTTGATGACCGCCGGAGGCATGTGACCACCGAGGTCCATGTGCACGATCAGCGTCACCTTGCACGAGGTGGCCGTGATGGGTCGGAGAATGTAGCCCGAGATGTGCGTGTGGGCGCGGACGAACGATGGGTTCTCGGGCATGCTTGGGAGCTCGATCGACTTGGTGCCAATGACGATTGCGTCGTCGACGACCTGCTTGCAGGTCACGACAAGGAAGTCGCGGGCTGTCGTTGGGAACACGGGCTTGGCCTGCACGTACCGGATCGACGTCGCGCCGAGGTCTCGGAGCACGCGGCAGTTGTCGGTCATCTCGTCAAACGTGCTCATCGCATCGGCGTCGGCGAGCTTGGCGGCCAAGACCTCGGCCGCGCAGCCGATCGTCGCCGTCGCCTTGATGCAGTTCCATGCATTGCCCGCGACGACGCCCCGCGAGACGAGGACGCCATGCGATAGCTTGGCCTCGCCCCACGTCGTGCGCGGGTCTTGGTTCGCGTCCTTGGCGAGCACCTCGGCGATGCTCTGCTGGCCGAGCGCAAGGACCTTCGCCATCTCGTCCATGAT